AGATGAACAAGAAGTTGACTGCTGAATTTCTGGCAGACAGGTACTTAGAGGAGTTTAGGAGTAACCAGGGTGGAAGATAAGACAGATTCAAGAGAGGGCATTGAATGATTTGGGGATAAAGGTTGGGTATTACAAGGCCTGGTTGGCAAGGAGCAGGGCCAAATTGGTAATTTATGGGAGTGTAGCTGAGCAATATGCTAGGGTATGGGACTATAGGAAAGCTTTCCTAAAGTACAACCCAGGCAGCAGTTACAATGTGGTTGTGGATACAATGGATCAGATACAGAGGCCAATCTTCATGAGTACATTTGCCTTGCTCCACTGAGTTTTGGGTTTGTCTCTGGTTGCAGACCCATCATTGGGGTGGATGGTTGCCACCTTAAAGGAGCATATCCTGGGCAAATATTGGTGGTTGTAGGTAAAGATAGAAATAACAACATATTTCCTATAGCCTGGGCAACATGTGAAATTGAGAATAAGGAGACCTGGGTGTGGTTTCTTCAAAGTCTGATGGAGTCACTAGGCTGCTTTGATAAAGGACATGTCTTGACTTTCATGTCTGATAGCCAGAAAGTAAGTATCTTCTTTCTGGTTTTTGCTTTTTTTTTTCATTTATATGGTTTAACTTTTGTGTCTTTTGTAATATGCTAGGGTTTGATTGAAGCATTTGCTGAAGTTGTCCCAAAGGCAGAGCTGAGGTTCTGTGTGAGACACATTTGGGCAAATTTCAAATTGCAATTTCATGGGGCCACTTTCAAGGAGCTTTTTTGGGCAGCAGCTAGGGCAAGCACAGTGGTATATGCCTTCACTTTAATTTCATGTGTTTGTATGTGTGTGTTTTTACTGTATATAATTTGTCGTATAGTCTAGGATATTTTTGTTTGCATATGTGTGTTTGTGTGTGTGTGTGTACAATTTGGAGTATTGAATTTAGCATTGCTGTATATCATAACTTTGACATTGCTGTACAATTTGGAGTATTGAATCTATGCTGTGTGTCTTTGTGTGTGTGTGTCAGTTTGAATTTGAGGTGGCTATGGAGTCAATTCACTTCCTGAATGATGAAGCTTATGAGTACCTTGCAAACATCCCCCCACCACTGGTCTAGGCATGCTTTCTCAACTACATGCAAGTCTAACATAATGTTAAATAACATGTATGAGACATTTAATGTTGTGATTAGGGAAGCTATGGATAAGCCCATACTTACCCAAATGGAATGGTTAAGAAGGTACATGATGAAGAGAAGTTATGATAAGTGGGAGGCTGCCTCTAACTGGGAGGGTTTATTAACACCATATGTGAACAAGTTGTTTGATAGCATTGAGAAGTATGCTAGGGCATGTATTGTGGTGGCTTCTAGGGGATAGACCTATGAGGTTCAGTACAAAGATGACCAGTGTGTTGTTGACTTGTCAAATAGGACATGCACTTGCTATAAGTGGGAGTTGACAGGGATACCCTGTACCCATGCTTATGCTTGCATTTTGGACAAAAGGGAGGACCCAGAGTTGTATGTGCATGTTCACTATTATAGGGTCACTTACCTAGATGCATATGAGTCTCCCATAGCTGCAATGCCTGGTTCAAAGCATTGGGAAAGGGTTCAGCTTAGAGAGCCTTTGCCACCTGTGATAAAGGTTCAGCCAGGCAGACCAAAAGCAAAAAAAAGGAAGCTTGAACAAGGTGAAGGGTCTTCTGCTGCTACTTCTCAGGGGAAAAAACAAAAGATCAAAAAGCAATGTAGCAACTGTGGTGGGTTTGGACATTATGCCAAAACCTGTAAGCAAGGTCCTACACTAGAGAAATCACAACAGGCTGCACCAAATCCCAAAGGGGCAAGGCCACAGCTGCAGACAGCTTGGATGAAAGAGCAAATCAAGAAAAGTGAGGCTAAAGCTGCAAAACAGGTATATACATGCAATTTTGCATTCATTGTATGTGTTTTAGGTTCAGTAACAATCAGCAATTGATGACCTCTGTTCTTTTTGACATGCAGGCTGCATTGACAATGCCAAAACCAGAGACTACTACTGGAGCAGCATCATCCCAGCCTACAGCAACTTCCCTAGCATCATCAACACCCTATCAATCTCTGATTCAACCCACCACCAGAGGCAGAAAAAAGAGCTCAAGTCAACCACAACCATATGAGTCTTCATCTCAGCCAGCCCAAGCAATAGATCGAAGCAAGGCCCAAGCTGCCAGTTACCAGGAGCAGGACAAAGAATTTGAACAACTTGTAATAGTTTAGAGAATTTGTACTTCATGAACAGCTTAGTTTTTTTAAGTAATTTCATTTGTGTAGTTGGACAACTTAGTTTTTTAAGGTGAACTTATGTAGTGCTCTTTTGCTGCAAAACTTTCTCAACATTTTGTATGCATATGTGAATATGCCTTTTGCTACTAAAATGAATGGGAATGACTAAATTAAGCACTTCAAGTTAGAGCAACCTTTTCAATACATTTCATTTCATTTTATTAAGCAAATATTCAAATACATAACATGAAATGGCAACCCTAACAAAAGCCATAAAACCTTGCCTAAATTTCCAAATGTTCACACTAATCCTAAGATCTAGCAAAATACAAGGCCATAACCAAACCTAGGAAACAAAACACAACAACACCCATAAACAAAGCCAAATTCTTTGATGATCCTTCATTTCCATGAGTCTCCATGCTCATCTTCTTCCTGTCAGAATTCAGTGCCTTACACTTGATCTTCAAGGAATCAATCTCATTCAACAAGCATCTCCTCTCCCACTAACATCATCTACTTCCCTCTTCAAGTCATTAATCTCACCCTTCATCAATTTCTTGTCAAGTATTAAGTTGTTAATCACCTCTGTTTACCATGGTGTTCCATCTGGCTGATCCACCCACTCAAAGGCTTTACAACCCCTTGTCTCTGTCACAGGGTCATAGAACTTGCAGGACCTGAACTTGCGTCCCGGATTCTCCCTAGTCCAGGAAGTAAGCTTTGCCATGGGTAATCCGCATTGAATTTTTTTTTTCTTTTGATGGTGAATAACTTACGGAAGACATTTCCAGCAACAATTGGCAAGCACCACCATCAACATTACTCCCGATTGAACAAAATTACCATTGCCATACCCTAATTACAATAATCAATTCAAATTTAAAAAACCCCAATTCAATTGAAACTAACATGAACCCTAATGTTAAAAATACGAAATTGGGGCTCAATTCTTAAGTCATATCCACAATTAAAATCAAACATCACATTTGCGACATAATTCAGACAACAATTGCAAAAATTTGCTACGAATTCATCTTATTAGAGATTTAATTGAACAACGTACCTCCTTCCAATTTCTGTCTCAGTGAACTTTGTTAAATGAGCACAAATATGGAACAAATCGATGCTTGGAATGCTAGGGCAAAGTGAAATTGAGGTTTTTGGAAGCAAATCGAAAAAAAAACCCAAAATCAGTGGATTTTTTTCAAGAAATTGGTAATAAGGGTTATTTATATCGGAAAATCGAGGGAAGAAAGGGCCAAATTTAAAAAAGTAGCTGTTAGAATGGGACCCACAACAAATTTCCGTCACCGGAGTCAGGTGGAGGTGGTAAAACCTATATTTATTTTTTTTATAAGGTGGTAAAGTAATACTTTTTTTGGGAGGTGGTAAAACAGATTTTAGTGTTTTTGTAAGGTGGTAAAAAACAAAATTTCCTAAGCATTAAGCACCAACAACAATTTTACAGAAAGCTATGAATATACTCAGTATCAATAATTGCATAGTACCTTGATAATATTAGCGAGAATTGCGATAAATGAAAACAAATATAATAACAACAGGACACTAGCTTATTCTGACATTACCAAATACAAGCTGTAGTTGTTTCCATCATGTAGCTTCAATTATGATTTGATAGTTAAATATTTTAATTTCACGCCATGATTTGAATTGAAGGTTCGGAAATATGACCGGAAAAATCAACTGTAATTGTTAATCAATAAATTTGAAAGCAAGTATTGCAATTTGAGTAATTTAGGGTTCGTAATTTGATCATCGACAGGTTAATCAATTGCAGGCTGAAAATTAAGATTAGTGGAATTGAAATTCTATACAGATACAACTATCTTGTTGTGGTTTGAGGTTGAATTTGGTTGCAATATTCTTTTGTTTGGTTGAAAAAACATGAGAGAAAAATATTAGGGCCTGTGATTGTTGTTGTTGTTTTCATGAATAAGTTGATTGCTTATGGGCCTTGTGGCACGTGTGAGATTTGGATGTACAATAATATTATTGTACACTGGGGCACGCAAAAACTTTTGTAAATAATTTGCTTATTTAAATCTTTCTTGTCCAACTATTTGTTTTAAGTCGTTATTTAAGGTAACTCTAATGATTTGGATTTAATCATGTGCTTATACTACAATTATTATATAGAGATAAGAAAACCGTAGAAGAAAGCTTTTGTTACATAAAAGATGCTTATGAAGAATTAAAATCGAATTATGTAGTACTACAATCTTACTAATATAATGTTTCTTTGTTCAAATCAAACATTTACAACTAACAATTAATTGACATAATGAAAGTAAACACTTACAACTAACAATTAATTGACATAACAAGAATAAAATCTAGGCAGACAACATAAACTCAAGAAAACATACATACTTAACTAAGACTCTAAGTGTCTCTAAGTCACATTTAGTACACTAACATAAAAGAGTATCATCGAATAGTCTATTTTTATACTTAACTAAGACTCAAAGTGTCTCTACGCTGTGACTGCTGTCGCTCTGCATCTTGGTTGTGTGGGCTTCTGTTTGAGGAAGTGCTAGCCTGACCTTGACCGTTATTACGAGGAGCATCATTTGATTTCACATGAGGTTCGTGCTCGAATTCTGTTATGAGTTGTTCCATATTCTTAGAAACCAGCGCGATTACTTTAGCAGACGAGTCAATTTCTCCTCGAATGTTCTCCATGATATCAGGAATTGTATCAACTCCGAGCAAGAACTCAAAAACTTATCATTCTAACCATATCAAGGCCATCAATAATAATCCTCAAAGTAATAGATATCGATACATCCTCTGACATTTTCCCCTGTAACCAGAATTTCTTATATCCGCTGTCAAATTCCATCAGTACTTCTGTAGGCTGCAGTAGTAGTCCAGCCACCTGATCTTGCACAGATTCATTCAGAGACAGACTACCAGCACAAGTACTTGCAGTCGATGTGTCAGCAACATCGACTGCAAGCAATGGGTCATTCAGAAGGTCCAATGCTGTCGGTCTAACAATATCAGGTGCAAAGTCAATACACTTATCAATCAACTGCTTCATTTGAGGATCAGTCACACTGAGTAACCCAACAGGCTTGAAACCGATGTCAACCAGATCATTGTCGCAGCTGAGTTCTGTGATTTGTACTTCCTTATTCATCATCTGCGTTAAGCTAGTCCCAAACGAAAATATATCAGTCTGAAACGCTGGTGTACTCCCTGATTCAAAAATCTTTGCAATTCCCAAGTCTCCTAGTTTAATCGTGCTCGTGTTACCTTTAACAAATATGTTACTACACTTAATATCACGGTGAGTAATAGGCGGATTATGAGTATGAAGATAATGTAACGCACTTAAAATCTGTCTACACCAAATCTTGATCGCCGTATTACCCACAAGAGCAGGTACATGTTCCCTGCTATAGTCTGTCAGATTTCCTGAAGAACAAAACTCAGTAATCATGTGGACGACTTTCTGGTCATCATCAATCCAATAACGGTAACATTTCGTAATGTTTTCGTGGTCTAGACCTCAATAATTCAGGTTCGGCACATAATTCCTCAAGATTTTCAATAGACGCTATTTCGTACCTTGCGAATTTTCTTGTGAGATCTGTCTCCATAACCGTATAATCGTTGGCTTGTGAACTCGAAGCCGCCATTACTAACCGAGTAGTAGGGAAATCAGTTAAGTCGGTTATCAAGATCAAGAAACTTAAAATGGGGTTTCTTGATTAGTTACTCCTATTATATTCTAGGAAATATTTAGGAATATATTGATTTGGTGAATATTTTTATTCACTACAAGCAGGATATATTTTCCCGTAATTGTCTCTAGTTTCTTTTGCTAGCTGTGCACTTTGGTTAGGCTTAGCCGCTTAGGAAACTAGACTACTTGTATCACAAATATTCTGTTCGGTGGATCAATATCTTATTTTACACCTTTCTTGATTTTCACATTAATAAATTTCTTTGTAAAATGAAATCAAGTATTTTGTTTTTGCAAATATGATTGGTTTTACCACTTAATAATACGGAGTATATTAATAAAATGGTATTTTCAGTTTCTTGATTACCGTATTTACCGACTTCACCCAAATTGTTATAAATATATATAACCATTAGAAATTTAGAATTACTCTTCAAATCATAATTTTCGTTTTTATTGTCACATCACATGTTACTTTTCTTCAAAATTAATAAACTCTTGCGTTATTCACTTGCATACCAATTGTTTGGGTCCAATTTAGTCCAATTGGGCTTAGGCATTAAATGATCCAATTAAAAGCCCAAGGTCAAGGTTCATCTCTCCAATTGTGCTAAAGTCAAAGATCAGCCCTCAAGGCAAGCCAATTGGGCTAAGGCCCAACTTCTCCATGTATGAAGAGGTATAAAAGCCATCAATATTACATTTTTAGGGGGGGATTCTCATTCATTCAAGAAAAGCCTCAAGCAACTAATTCTCTTGCATAGTGTTCTCTTTCTACACACTGTACTGACTCTAGCATCGGAGGGGCCTTCCTCGGCAACACCCCCGAGGCTAGTTTACGTGTGTTTACTGTGCAGGAAACCTTCGGCCCAACATAACTTGGACCGAATCTAGTCTTCTCCGCTTCATCGGACCTTCGGCAAGGTCCCATTGTTTTCACCCGAAACAATTTGGCGCCGTCTGTGGGGAAGACTTTCAAAAATCTTTAAGCCAAATTTCTAACCAAGATCATCTTGCAATTATCTTAGTAGCAATGGCTAAGAACCGCAAGAGCAAAGGCCTCCGTCAAGGAGCGGGCGAAAAGCCTAAAACCCCTACACCATCACCCTCGCCGGACCGGAACTCTCCTAAGGGTGCCAGCTCGGGGGGAGGATCATACAAGGAGGATTCCCTTTCTCCCGTAATTCATGACTCTCATCATAGGCCGAGTCACTCTCGGTCTAGCAGGGGTGAGTCCGATCATAGGACACATGCAGTGCCCCAAAGCCAACCATCGAATGTGCCTCCTCATTCCCATACTCGGCCGAGGACCCCTTTGACGGGGCCCAGCTCGGAGGAGGTGGCAAGAGCGCTGGCAGTGCTCATGGAGGCGATGAGGGCACAAAATATGCCACCACCTCGTGATCGAACTCCTCCGCATACCCGGCATCAGCGGAGGAAGCTAGACCATGATGGTGGGAAGCTTCCTTCCTTCCGGGAACTGGAAGAGTGGGAAGAGGATACCTGGAAAAATGAAAAAGAGAGGAAAAAGAACCCTCAATTTTTAAAAGGATCCTCATCCTCCCGACCAGAGACGCATAAGAGCAGCAGCTCAGCTTCTCGGCCAGAATCTACTCACCGAGAACCTGAGACTGTTCGCCGAAGCGTCCTCGACCGACTCGGCGGTAAGGAACCGAGCGTGCGCATTCGCCTCTCGTTCCCTGCGCCGAGGCCCAGACTTCCCAGCCAGGGACGAAAACCACTCCTACCTTTCTAAGAGGGCGGAGCGCGGTCCCTTCGGCTAGGAACAAGGGCAAGGCCGTTATGCTACCCGCCAGTTCACCATTCGAGCAATGGATTCTGGAAGAGCACGTGTCCACGGTTAAAATACCGTCGCACATCACATATGATGGGACCTCGGATCCGAAGGATCACGTGGCCTCGTATGAGACTCATATGCATCTTTGCCCCAGATCCGAAGCGATTTGGTGCAAATATTTCCCAACCACTCTCAAGGGGGTCGCGCAAGCGTGGATCTCCAAGGGAGTAAAGCAAGGCTCCATAACAGGGTGGGATGATCTGTCCTCCAAATTTAGGAGCAAGTTTTCCACGGCAAACCGCCGAGAGAAGACTACTGCAGAACTCATGAGTCTACAACAGGGGGAAACCGAAAGCCTCCGAGACTATCTGACCCGTTTCAGTAACGAGTCATCCAGCGTCTCTCAGCTGGACTAGGGGCTAGCCGTTTTTGCAATGCAGAATGGCCTTCAGCCCGGGAAGTTCCTAAACTTCATGGTCATGCATACCCCGCAGACCTTGGAGGAAGCTCTGAATGCCTCGGATAAGTTCATCCGAGCCGAAGAATGGAACAAAGCGAAAACCCAACCTCAATTTGGGGGAGGGAAACAAAGACAAATACCCTTGTCTGAAGGCCAAGGCCATAAGGCAAAGGGAAAGTCAAAGGCCTCAGAGCAATCTTCGGCCAGCGACCCAAAGAAGGAAGAATCTGCCTCATACACAGGCAGATACGAGTCCTACACTCCGCTCTCTCTTCCACGCGCCAAAATTTACAGCGTGACGAAGGAGGAGCAGAGTTAGCGAAAGCCGAGACCACTCCCAGAGTGGTATCAGCGGAAAAATAAAAATCAGTGGTGCGAGTTCCACGAGTCTCCGGGACACAACACTGAGGAGTGTATCCAACTGAAGGACCAGATAGAGGACATGGTCCGGAAGGGATACTTGAAAAAATACATCGCGGATCACCGCGAGAAAAAAGAGTCCGAGAAGTCAACAAAGGACTCTCGGCAAGACCTCGACTTCCCCCGGAAGAACAGTAAAAAGCCGGAGGGGAAATTCTCTCCGATCAATGTTATCTCGGGAGGAATATACTCTTGGAGGGAGCACAAGCGACACCTTAGAGCTTTGACTCACCAGGTGAACAACGCTGACATTCAATCTCCCCAGTCGCCGGTGCCGAACATGACGTTCACAGCCGCCGACTGCCGGGGGATAACGTTCCCTCACGAGGATCCGTTGGTGATCATCGCCACGGTGGCCAACCACGACGTCAGTAAGGTCCTTGTTGACGGTGGCAGCGGAGCAAACATTCTGTTCCGAAAGGCCTACAATCAAATTAAGCTGAAGCCCAAGCACCTTACGCCGGTACCCTACCCGGTATCCGGGTTCAACGGGGCTTCAACTTATCCAGATGGGAAGGTGACACTTCCTATCACCATCGGCTGCGATGAGGCAGCCAGGAACGTCATGATTGAATTTTTGGTCATTGACGCTCCTTCAGTGTACAACGTAATTTTGGGGAGACCCATAATTCATGAGCTCCAAGGGGTCGTCTCAACTTATCATCAGCTGATCATTTACGTCTCAGACGCCGGCTTCCCCGAAAGGATACAGGGCAACCAAAAGGACGCCCGAAGGTGCAACTACCTCAAGCCATCCAGTAGTCGCCCAGATGACGACAAGGATAAGGAGGAGAAAGAAAAAGAAAGAGAGCCAAGCACAAAAAAGCCGAAAGGCCTAAGTGCTTCGGCCCAAGGATCTGTACCCAGAGGTAAAGGGCCCGAAAGGGAAAAGGCTAGCTCTTCAGCTGAACAGCAAGACTCAGAGAGCCAGCCGAAGAACAAAAAGACTGGGACACCTGCTGACATAGGCAGCAGGCCAGATTATGAAGAGTCCAGTCCATCAGCAATGGACATGGACCAACAGACTGAAACAGTTGAGTTGGCCGAAGGAGACGTTGAGAAATGTGTAACAATCGGGATGGACCTTGATCCGAACACCCGTTGTGAACTTATTCAGCTCCTTCGGGACAACAGAGATGTGTTTGCTTTCTCGGCAGCTGATATGCCCGGGATAAGTTCAGACCTCATCTCCCATAAGCTTAATGTTGACCCAACGTGTCGACCAGTAAAGCAAAAGAAGCGGAATTACTCCACTAATAAGAACCGAGACATCGCAGCCGAGGTCAAAAAATTGCTGGAGGCAGGCTTCATCGAGCCTTGCCAATATCCAGAATTGCTGGCAAATGTGGTGATGGTTCAGAAGGCAAATGGTACCTGGAGGATGTGCGTTGACTTCACGGACCTAAATAAGGCTTGTCCGAAGGATTTCTATCCCTTGTTGAGGATCGATCAGCTAGTCGATTCGACAAGTGGCCATGCCTTGCTTAGTTTCATGGACGCATTCTCGGGGTATCATCAGATCTTCATGCACCCCGACGATCGAGCAAAGACAGCATTCGTCACGAACGCTGGGGTGTACAATTACAAAATAATGCCCTTCGGATTGAAAAATGCGGGGGCAACCTATCAAAAGCTGGTGGATCAAGTTTTTGCCGATCAAAAGGGCCGAAACATGGAATTCTATGTCGAACGATTCGATCGTCAAAAGCAAAAAACCTGAGGACCATGTTAAGGACTTGGCTGAAACTTTCGCTACCTTAAGAAAGCATCAAATGAAGCTGAATCCGAAGAAATGTGTCTTCGGCGTGAAGTCAGGGAAATTCCTTGGGTTCATAGTCAGAAAAAGGGGGATTGATGCCAATCCCTCCAAAGTCAAAGCGGCGCTCAACCTTCCTGAGCCGAAAACAAAGCGGGATGTTCAGCGGCTCACCGCAAGAATGGCAGCCCTCTCGAGGTTCATTTCCAGAGCTTCGGATAAGGGGTTACCTTTCTTCAAAGCCCTGAAACTCCCGAAAACAAAAGAGCTCGTTTGGGAGGAAGAGCAAAAAGACGCCTTTAAACAGCTTCGGGAGCATC